AGGGGCATGATTGTAGAGCTGGCAGCGGCCATCAAGGCTACTCCTGGGACCCTGACCTTGTTATACTCTGGGAGTTAGATAGAGCTGCTTGTTGAAAGTTGCTCTGTTGTTTTGTTGTGCAATTCAGGCTAAATGTTAGCACAGCACAAATAAAAAAACATTTGTTCAGACAAGATGGTAACTTTGGAATAATTTCATAAAAATCCTCATTCTTTTTTGCCTAACTTGAGATTTTCACCACTGGACATAGTGTCTGGGAAACCATCTGGTGGCATTACATTAAATACAGTGGTTTTACTGTACCCATAGTCAATGACTTCACTGGCACATGGAGTTTCTCTCTGTCTCTCATGCATCTCTAATGTTGTTAGCACACAGAGGCAGTAAGTGAAGCATGGACAGACACAGCATATACTGACTCTACTTTTCAATTTAATTTTCTGGAAAGGATATTAGAAAAATGCTCACTCACTGATCCTTATATAAAAATAATGTTTGTATTTCTCCCTTCGTCAAGTATGCACACCCTCTCTCTCTCTCTCCCTCATTCATGCATGCCCCCACACTGAACCAGACGACAAATATCCTCCAAAAGCTGAAATAGTATAAGTTAATGAGACTCTTAAGCCATTCCATAATGCATACTATCACATAACATGAAATTGTAGTTTTATGGTTTTGTATCTAAACATCAAGACACCATGAATTAGAAGTACACTGACCTATTAACTGTAGGGTTTATAGGCTGGCACATAATTAGGAAAAAATAAACTACACCACAAGATGTTTGAGGATTGGAAAACAGTTTGTGGCTTGTCATGACTCACAAATCCTATTACAGTAGAAAGATCTTGTACAGTTATCCTGTATTTGTGAGGAGAAAGATAATAATTTCCTCTTTATAATGCTGTACATTCACCCAAAGGCTAATTCTATTCTGCTTGTCTAGGCCTATAGCTAGATTATTGCTTATTGTAGCTTTTGAGGTATCTTGACACATAAATATATGGCTAATGGAAGAATTCCATTAAAGGGAAGTTTTAGCTTAAGGTTATGGTGTCTGGAAGAATGCAGCATGTCTGTAAGACATAATGGCCAAGATCGTCAGTGGAGGCAAATCAGTGTAATTTTACTGAAGTCCATAGAGCTACACCAATTTACATTAACCAAACCTTTGGACTAGATGACTGCATTATTCATAACTTTTCAGCCTTGGTCTATCTTGGCCAGTCATCAGAATTCAGATGGCTATTGAAGTACCACCAAGTGATATATCACTTCTACATTGTCTGGGATGTACAGATAGAGGGCATATATGTTGCCTATCAGCATCAATAGCAATTGGGGACTGTGGGGTGCTCATTTTGGCTAGGGACAAGTTACACATAAACCGGTTTAAGTGATTGGAAACTGGTTTAAACCTATAACAAAACAGCAGTTCAGTGCACATAAACCAGTTTCAAAATGGCTGAAACTGGTGTAAGATGAACCTGGTTGAATGCAGTATTAGGCTTAACTGATTTGGGTCAAACTGGTTTATGAAACTTCTGTTCCAGACCCCTTCCTAGTTCAAGTTAAATCACAGTCCCCCAGCATGCTTTCCAGCCTTGGGCTGGGCTGGGCTGGGCTAGGCTGTGCTGTCTGCTCCAGCAGAGAAGGGCTGGGAAGGTAGGGAGGAGGCAGGGACAGCCCCTCCCCCCCCTGCCCACAGGCAAACCCCATCTGGGGCCAGGGAGTGGGGGTTAAACTTCCTTTTCCCTGAGTACAGAGCTGCCCTACCCTGCCCTGCTAAAAACTTACTACTGCCTGTGACTGTGGACCACAAATCCTAGAAGCACCTGTAAGCAGAAAAAGGAAGTCACGAGCAACTCTGCAGAGTCCTGCTTCTGTGATTATGGACTGCAAATCCCAGAGACCTCAGGGGAAGAAGGAAGAAGTAGTGAATACACAGCCCATACTGACTATGTGCCAAAGAGGTCCCTGATTCAATTTGGTGGAGATTCAGCCTGATTCAGTGGCCGAATCTCTGAATCAAATCAGGAGACCCTTTAATCTCTCTGAATCGAATTGGAACACCCTGAATTGATTCAGAGAGATTCGGAAATTCGAACATAGACACGTTTAAATGTTTTTTCTACATACCTTAAGGTAGCAGGCGGCTCATGAATGCTGTGATCCTGGGGCAGATGGAGCATCACACAGGAGCGCGGTTGGGTCCCCAACGTGCTCGGCAGCAGACCTGGAAGTGGACCAGAAGCACTTCTGGTCCACTTCCAGGTCCGCTGGAGAACGCGCTGGAGACCCCTGGTGCCCCTCTGGCTCAGCGACTGGTGCCTCCTGGGTCTGTTGGGGGCACCCAGGGTCCCCTCTCAGCCAATTGCTGAGCCAGGCAGGGTGTGGGGTGGGGGAGCCCCTGTGGGCTCCCCGGTGGACCTGGAAGTGGACCAGAAGTACTTCCGGTCCGCTTCCAGGCTCGCCACCAAGCATGTGCACCCCCCCGCCCCCTCCCCCCCCCACACACTCCTGTGGGACGTTCCATCCACTCCAGCATCACAGTGTTCACGAGCCATGCTTGGTACCTCGAGGTATGTAGAAAAAACATTTAAAGCTGTGTTTATGTCCAAATCGCTGATTCTCTGAATCAGCATCGAATCTTCGGGTTCAGCTGAATCAAATCAGGGACAGTGATCCAAATCAACAAATCGAATCACTGTCCCTGATTCAGGTCAAATCTAAATCCAAATTGAATACAGCTCATTTCGCACACCCCTAATTCCTATACCTAACTTCCTGTCCAGTGGAAAAATACCTCTATGGATCTGTCCAGCCCTAACTGCCTGCCCTAAATCAAGCTCTATTGATTCAAATGGTGTCAGGTATCTCCATGCTTTGGAAAGTCCTAGCTGATGCTTGTCTGTATCTTTGGCCACCAACTCTTAAATATCTGCCCATTTGAAAATGTTAACCTTTATCCATTTTGCTTTCTGTCTTTCCCCTGCCTACAATGTTTTAATGGGGCATAGTTCCCAATTAAGCAGAGAATGTAGTATTGGCCTACATGGTAGAATGCCCCACCCCATCAGTGACTGGTAGAGGCTTCCATTATTAACTGGGTCATTCCATCTTTACTTCTGGGTGAAGCATTGAGAGATTCACAACCCTTCTTTTAACATACCTTAGTTGGTAAGGCTCTAATTGTTTTACTCAAAGTAATTATAGAAAAGAGCAAGATAAATGAGGGACTGCAGACTTGCCCCTTATATCATCACAAGCTTGTTTACATGGTAAATAAAAGTAGGCCTATAATCTAGACAATAGAATTAACTCATAATTATATGGCTGCAGGAGAGAGATGAAGATAAATAAGAAGGTTTCTTTGGAGTTTAGCCTCCAGCAGTGAAGTGCAAAGAAGTGAACAACAGTCAAATTGCCTCTGGCTAGGGATTATCTGGTCAGAAATGTGATGAGAGACCTGAAGTGAGGGATTAGGAGTGACAGAAATGTAAAAGGTGTCACTCTTTCTTGTGTGTCAATGATTTGCTATGCCAATGTGGCGCATAACAGGAGACTGATGCAGTCATTCAAATGAGACCCTGACTGCTTCTGTCATTGAAAAATCTGACATTTTTTTCAAGTGTTAAATTATAATCCCCTGCAAGATGCCCAAATGCCAGCTTCATTAACTACATTCTACTTTCCTAATATTTCCCTTGATTTTTTGTTCTTGCTGGAAATGTTATTCCTTATTTTTTCCTTTCACTGGCATAATGAATTGCTGCCTGTTTAGAATAGTTGGTGTGTTCCACAACACTGGATGTTGCACTTCAGAAGTGCTGCATAATGCTTAGAGATAAAGTGCATTTTAGGGTTCCTTTGGAGGAAAGCTGCTGCAAGGACTGATATATGATATCGTACTGCAGATTGTACTGGGCTGTCATTTCAGGTTTATTAAAATATGACTATAAACCAACATCTGGATTCAGGAACCCCTTTAAGAGTGCCACGTTGTTCTGTAAAACACACTGTAGTTTTATAAATGGCTCAATACCTGCAACTAATGTCAAGCTGCATTCAGTTGAGGGATTGGGTTTTCCTTTGGCCTTACCCTCTTGCTGTTCTTTCTTCTGGTAGATTTTCTTTGGATAGAGGTGTTAGGTTGCACAAAGCTCAGTGTTCTCAGTCAAATCAAAGTGCAAGCAAAAAGAGACATCCAGCAATCCTTTCCTCCTTTTAAGGTTCCTCTAGAAAATTAGTCAGTTCTGTTTCTCATCCAATTAGGAGATTTCCCAGGGAATACAAGAAGCATTTTATGAGGCCCAGGAAAGCTGAAATGTTATCTCACTCATTTGTTCTGCTTCAACCCCTCCCAAAATATCTATTTGCACAAACAAATTAAATTTTGTTCTATTTAGACACAAAGGCTACCTATACATGTGCTCAGAGGTGGGGGTGGAACATTTTAATTAGAGCAGTTCCTGGACAGCTACTGTAATCAAAATGGCTCACAGTCATGTGTATTAAGTACCCATGTTTTAAAATGGCTGCAGGATGCTTTATCTAAAGCCCATTTGATAAGGTTTCGATAAAGCGCCCCTGTGGCCATTTAGAAACGTGTGGGGGTTAAATACACACGATGATGAAGCAGCGTTGGAGCATTCTAATTAGAACATGGAGCAGACTTGATTGAGTCTGCTCCGATGTGCTCTAATTAGAACACAAACAAGCACGTGTATAGGCAGCCTAAGGGCTTGTCTACAAAGGGACAAATTGACGAAAGCTGTGAAATTAATGCATATAAAGGGCCATCATTCCAATAGGGACGGTCTCATTTAGAGGTACACTGGTTTATGTTTATTTGGAATAGACTACAGCAAACTTAAATCACTTACTTTAGTGTAAGAATGCCCACATAAGGGTTTAATATGATAACTTACATGGATTGACTCCCTCACTTTCAAAGTTACTGTGTTTGAAATTTCCTGAGTGTCTCCGTGTGAGATAAGAGATTCCTTTTTTAAAGGGCCTCCACTTTTCTGCAAGTGTACAACAGCTTGCATATCTATCACAGTTTCTATGGCCAGAGTCTGGAACTTGCTCAATGTTTTAGTTCCTGAATCTGCATGGACTTTTATGGTGCTTTTGCACACTTTTAGCAAAAAAGAATCTTGAGGATTCTCCAAGTGAGACAGGCTGAGAATCCTCCCCGCTTCCTTATGTCATCATTTACACATTTCAGGTGCTGGCTTAATGCAGACTTATGCAGTCTCTATGCAGACTTTCAGAATGCCTTAAAGTAAAGAGAACTCAAAAGGTGCTAAATTGTGAGCAAAGAACTTTTAGACTGGCAAAGCGGAGGCAGGACCAGGCAAAGACTATCACCAACTCAAGGGAAGCAACATGATAAACAGATTCTTTGTTCATATACAGGATGTTGGCAGCTTCCTAACACAACATGTGGAAGGCAAGAGGAATATCTTTTTGAGCAATGTAATATTCACTAATAAGCAATACCATCAAGGGAAAGGAAAATCATGGAAGCTGTCGACTCATCAATATGTATATATCAATTAAGAAACATTGTTGGAATAGTAGCTGCTGCATATCTAGTTTGTTCCTTCCTCATTGTTTAAAATACATTATTACTTTGTTCTTAGAGGCCTCCTGTTGAAATCAGGACATGCTGTCCTAGGCACAGTGCAAACAATTTGGTCTAGTTTCTGCCCTGAAGAGTTTATAGTCTAAATAAACCAAACAGGGGCAGGAAGAAATTAAATTATCTTTGTCTCCCAGGTCTACCAAGGAGGAACTAAGGTTGCAAGATTAAGCGATTTGTCTAAGGACACATAGGAAGTATGTGGGAGAAAATCTGCTGTTATAAATTAAATCTAGAATTACTGTCTTGAAGTATGTAACCACCAAATTAGATAAAGCTTCAGCAGAACAAATAGCAGTCCCACTCCTTTCTAAGACCCTAAAGACCAAATGTAAAGGGCCTTTAAGCAACTCACAAAAAACAAATAGATCTGGATTCGTGCTTTATGCCATGTAATTTCAAATATTTTAATGATCACAGATTAAGTGGGGAAGTACCTGTAGGAAGTCCAGAAAGGACCTTGATTATGAAAACTTCCATTACTCCTGGAAGCTTCAGCAGGCGTAGGATTTCTCTGAAGCTAAACACACTACCAGACTGTGATGCATCTAGGGAAATAACAGAGAATCACCTCCTATTTACACAGTCTAAAAGCAAGAAACATGAAACCAATACATTGCCTGATCATGTTCACAGCCAAATCTGCACAGGGAAAAATTCCTTCTGTCTTTTCTGCATCTCAGCCAGAGCCATAGCCAGGCATTTTGGCACCCACTGAGGTCACATGCACAGCACTCCCCCTCCCCTGCAACCGGATGTGCTACTACATAGTTACCTCTATTTGAGTTGGCCAATGTGAGGGTGCCTGATACCAGTATGCTACTGGCACTTCCCTTGCTACACTTCTGGTCTCAGATTCTCCTGCCCCACTGGCATTGGTTCTATGCTTGGGGAACCACACTGGTCCCAGTGGGTTTTTGGTGTCCAAAGCAAATTCAGAATGCTAAATGTGACTAGAAGGAACCTCAGTGAGTCATCTAGTCCAACCTCCTTCTCAAGCTATGGTGATCGTACCTTGAGCAGGGAGTTGGACTAGATAACCTCTTGAAATCCCTTCCAGTCCTATTTTTCTATGATTCTATGAATGTGCGATAGATGCTTACAGTGCAGGTGAGAGACCTGACTGGAGAGGATGATGTTGCATCATGCATTTCAAAAATCCTACAATCCATTCCCATTCCTACCAGCCCCAGGTATTTGGTAACATGAGAGGACATTTTCATGACATTTCTATTTTCTCACCCTTTCTCATTCTCACAATCATCCTTTTCATTTTTAGCTCCACACACTATTATTTTTTAAAATACTCTCAAGAAGGCTTCTGCAATGTGGCATAACAAACTAGTCAATGCATATGGAATATACTTTCCATATGCCATTGTCTACAGAGTAAACTCTTGAAAGGATCAGTGAAGGCTGGATGAATATCTTTGGAGCATTAGACTCATCTACAAACAAATGTGGTTTGTAGAGTGGATTATAAGGGATCAGCGTTTGGCCGCTGGAAGGCCTAGTTCAAGTGCTTAATGGGTTGGTCTTAACTGAAAAGCAGCTAGGTGGTCTTATCTTTACTATCAGTGTAAACCTTATTCTCTGCTGCAAACTTGTACCATGAACCCTGTCTTCTCAGGTAAGAATGAGGAACCAGGATTGAGGTGTTCTGGGACAGCAGATGAAGGTGAAGTTTGCTTCTGTTTACCCCTAGGCACAACTAGAATCTTTCAATTCTGTCTTTAAATTAATGTAAACTGCCCTTCTACATTCCTACAACTATTGTTCACAAATAGTTAACACTCACTTTGCTGCATGGCACGTCCTTCTGACTTTGGCTTCGTGTGAGCAGGAATGCAGGTCATTACTATCACTGTGTTTATGAGACTTCCCACTAGTGCAATGTATGAAGGAAAGTAAATGCTGTGAACAGAAAGAACATTAACAATATAAATGCAATGGATCTAATTTAATGAAGGAAAAGTATTTTTGCCCTGATCCTGCGGCAACTTAAGTGCATGAGAAGTATTCCCACTAAAATCACAATGAGAAAGATTATGCAGGTATTTAAGTGTTTGCAAGATCAGGATTTTATATGATTGTCCATGGTCTGACAATGCTTTTTTACCTGTAAGTGCTAGAAAGTGCCACCTTATAAATATAACAAATTGTTCAGTAGGATTCATTCAGTCCTGCAATGGGACAGATTCTGATACCCTTTTTATTCACTCTGGCACCTTATTATGAAGACAGTTCTATTGATTTCAATGGAAGCCCACAATTCATCATAAGTACGGAATAGTTCAAAAGCGCGCCACCGCCACTTTCTCAGTGCTGACGTGCATTTTGCCGTTTATACAAATGTATGCCCTTCAGCACAGGGCTCTTTTAAAAGCACCTGGCGCTGCAGTGCAAACGTGTACAAATGCCCTGTATGTACAGGTGCTAGAAAACAGCACATTAGAAAAACGGTTTTAAAAGTCAAGTTGTGTGTTTGATTTTCAGGTTCTTTATTATGTTTCATACTTGGATGAATCAGTTTTGTTTATTGATGATAATGCAGCTCCCTTAATAATTTGCTAGGGAGTTAGGATATAAATTAATATTAACGAGAAAGGGTGTCAAAGAAGGTCTCCTGCCTAACCAAGAAAACAGGCTAATGCCAGCACAGCGCACTGTAAAAGCCTGGACAGAAACTCTTGATAATTTAGACTAGGGCTTTTTTTTTCTTTTCTTTTTAAGATGATGCAACACCTTTTAACAGAGGCATTGTCCAACAGGCTACATCCTGTTCCCAGCTATGATCTCAGAACCTGCCTCCCCTCTCATTCACAATCACATAGCATCTCTGTGGCTCCCTCTGCAATTACTTTCAAAGAACAGCAATCTCAGGAGTAAATCAAATGTATGTTTAGCCATAATTTGTTGCAGTTTAACTGTGGAAGACAAACATGAGATCACTACCATATAGCATACTGACTCCCCATGGACCATCAGGGTTCACTTTGAGAAGCTGTGGAGATGAAAGAAGTATCTTTGCGGATGAAACACAGTCTGTTCAGAACTCCTATGACAATCGGAACCAATATATAAACAGGCTTATGTTTTTCCAGGATTTTTCCCTGCATTTTTGGATTTTCCAGGGAGCTTTGCATTTACAGGTGGTGGGTTCTGTATTTCAACCATGCCTTTGACATGGAAAGGAAATTGTCACAGAGATGTGCTTTGCTGTGTACTGAGGGAAGGTAATACTGACACCTTCCCCAGCCACCTGGCAAAGCTTTTATCCCAGG